CAGTTAGGTCTCTGGTTTGTGTGTGGATGTGTGCACAGATGTAGTGTATGTTGGAGTTATCCACCCCTATCACCTGAGCACTTGTCTGCTCTTTACCAATGCCAAGAAGAACGTGCTGTGTGAGAAGCCCTTGGCCATGAACGCCAAGGAGGCACAGGAGATCCTGGCGTCTGCCAAGATGAATGACGTCTTCTTCATGGAGGTACGGATGGAGCAGACCAAAAAATAAAAAAAAAATTCTCTTCATAGCTGTACTTTCTCTACTTTTCACCTGAAAAATCATCCTTGAGCCTGAAAGTGCAGTTACAGCATTATCTGTTACTCAGTGAAAAAAGTGACAGCAAAATATTGCAGCATTGTTAGGCTATGTGAATACTGTTTTTTATTAAACCTTTATTTAACCAGGCAGGACACTTAAGAAAAACTTCTTATTTGCAAGGATGGCATGGGAAGAGGGGAGTAGCCTCTTGAGGGTAGGTGGGGAATGGATACAAGTTTAGACAGACAACATTTAGTGTTAACTAACTGACAAAGCAATATCATACAGAGGTAAAACATTAAAAAGAGAACAAGAGAAAGTACCGATACAGTGAGGGTATAAACAATACAGGTCAACAGACAGCTTTTTTTTGTTATTTTTAACAGACCTAGAAACAATTAATAAATAATTAATTATTCTTGCTTGTGAAGGACACACTTACATGTGTCTTTGGAGATGCCCATGATTTTGTTCTTGAAAGAATTGATTTTTGGAACTTTTAGTTAAAAAGTTTAAATAAAATTAAATGACCTCGTATTATATACGTAGTAGGAGTGTAGTAGTAGGTCTTTCAGGTAAGGTAGGGTCAAACCAAGGAGGGTTTGTAAATAAAAGTGAGCCAGTGATGATTTTGTCTAGTATGCAGGGATGGCCAGCCTGTGGAGGAGTATAGATTGCAGTGATGGGTTTTGTAAGGGGCATTGGTGGCAAAGCTGATGGCACAGTGGTACAGAACATCTAGCCGCTCAAGGTCACCTTTACCTTTTACTTTTAATTTAAGTCTTGTTTCTGTGAGAAACAGGTGTCTGTCTCACTACATATTATTAACAGGGTGTATCATATGTTTCATCTATGCAAAATTTATACAGCATTTTTTAAATAGGCCTAATAATAATTTTAAAATCTAAATATGACATCCAAATTATTCTTGGATGAATACATATACCAGTAATACTTCTTCGGTATCATCTGTGTTTTGTCATACAGCAACGGACATTTGAAAACAAATGGTTTCATCATGATTTTGTTCTTGAAAATGAAATGTGACTACCAAAAGAGCCAAGCACCTAAAATGTAACCTTATGAAATGCTTCTTGTCCTTTGCTCTAAGGCTGTGTGGACCCGATTCTTCCCGGCCTCAGTGGAGATCAAACGGCTGCTGACCCAGGGTGATATCGGTGAGGTGAAGATGGTGAGATCAGAGTTTGGCGTGCCATTGGCACATGTACCGAGATCGGTGCAGAAGGAGCTGGGCGGAGGAGCAATGCTAGATATTGGTATCTACTGCCTGCAGTTCATATGCATGGTGTATAATGGAGAGAAGCCAGAGTGCATCCAGGCCATGGGGATCTGCATGGAGACAGGTAATGTAAAAGAGACCAGTGGGGTCTCATAGCTATGATTTCTGAAGCTCTGTCCCCTCATTTGCATGTGGAGACATGTTGCACTTGCACAATAATACTGTGTACAGTTATGGGTATAATATTGCAATAGCTGGTTCATTCTTAATTTTTATTACTCTGAATCTTTGCCAAAAAAAACAAAACAATAACAAACACACGGTGTCAGTCTTTTTATTTTCTTTTAACAGTCTGACTTGCTACCCACTGACCTCAGTTGTATATATATTGGTTTGCAGCACCTCATATGATAACAAATGAGAGTTTTTAAGTTGGAATTTGTCAAGTTTTTTGCCACTGTGACTCCCACTGTGTTTTAATTGAGATTCTTTTGACCAAGGGAGTGTTTCTGTCTGATAAGACCTCTCTTATCTCTGTCACTTCATTTCTTTTGTGTTAACTGGCACAATAAAGGTTATGATTCAATAGTGTTTTATCTGCATTCTTATATACAATAGTCTTCTTCAAAAACAGTAGAATGCCTGATCATGTATATAGTTTTACTATCTCTTCATCAAGTATGAATCATGTATTTGTATAACTGTTTGTTGTTGCAGGAGTGGATGAGACTGTAGTTGTCACTCTGAAGTTCTCCAAGAACAGGATGGCAGTATTTACTTGCTCTTCGTGTATGCAGCTGCCCAATGATGCCATTATTGTAGGCACAAAGGGAACCATCAGGGTAGGTCATTACAGCAGGGCCCCATAATCAAATTAAATTTGATTACTCTGAAATGCAGTTCCTATGTGCATTTGCATGCTGAATTAAACCTAAAGGTTAATTGGTGAACAAAGATCAAGTGTGAAGTTAAATGTGTATTTACTGTATATCCTGTAATTGTGTATCTACTGTTATGGTTGTGAAAATATACTGTCACTGGTTTTTAAGGTCCCTGATCATATGTGGTGCCCCACATCATTGGTGGTGAATGGGAAGGAGACTCAGTACCCGGTGCCAGAACCCTATTTGCCTCTTAACTTCCTCAACAGTACAGGGTTGCGTTACGAAGCAGAGGAAGTTCGACAGTGTTTGCTCAAAGGTACTGTGACATTCAGCATATTTTAGTTTGCATCTATATTACAACAGGAAATAATTAAGACATTTACAAAATAATTAAAACGAGCATAATCAGTGAGTAGGTGATTAATTATCAGTGAATGTTCATACATATTGTTAGACTTCTTATGCACACTCAACACAAGGTGGCGTCAGAAACACTGAAATCCGAATGGCCACTTGGTCTGTTTGTACATGCAGACTCAACAGTGCACTGTGCATGTTCTTATAGTGTGATTTCCCATGTAGGGCTGAAGGAGAGTGCAGTTATGGCCCATGCTGACTCTCTTCTGCTGGCTGAGGTGGAGGACGAGGTTCGCAGGCAGGTGGGGGTGGTGTACAGCCAGGACTGCCATTAAATGGTTAACGTGACGCTAGATCGGCTTTCTGTTTTTGATTAAAACAAGTTTATGATGGAGAATCCCAAATTGTTCTTAATGATTGAACTGGACTTTACATTGATACACTATCTGCGAGGAGCAGGTTAACCTTTTGTGAGGACAAAGAAAGCTTATTTTTTAAGACTCTTAGGGGCAGTTTCCCAGACAGAGATTAAGCCTAGTCCCAGACTAAAATGGAGAGTTAAGACGGACTAACTGGAATTGGATTTCTCAGACATGGTTTAAAATAGTCCCAGACTTTCCCTAGTCATGAATTACAAAGTCTGATTAGAACTAGTCTAGATTTAAGTAAAGGCTTAAACTAAACCTGGCCAGAGGCAGGTTTAATTTCAGATTAATTGATGTTGGCCTCCAGATTGACCTTAGCAATAGAGGAAAATGGATTACCTGGACTATATTAATGATGATGAAAGAGCTCCATTTAGACTATTTAGACACCAGACAGAAGGGTGGTTATGGACAGGAGCAACCCACTGAATGATCTTGATGAAATCAACTTTCATGACCTTTTGGTTTTGGCGTGCCGAGATGCTTTTGCTTTGTGGCACTTCTCACAATGAAGTTACCTCAGATGATTGAAGACAACAATTGCCACAGATTGATTATGAACAAAAGTTTTATTTCACAAATTGAGATGTCGGGACCCTGAACTGGTGCTGGTTTCAGTAGAACATTGGTACTGCTGCTGCTTCATGTTTCTCTCTTCCTCCTTCATGGCTAACTCAACATGAAGTATTTTCATCTTTATTTCATGTTCATCTTTTAAATATTTTAATTTGTGCTCATGGAATTCCATGGCCAGTTTCTCGTGCATGGTCAGCCTCTTGGTCCTTCTCATCTGGCCAGAATTAGTGACACCATCTTCCCTCCAGGCTGCTGCAGCTGTAGTGGGCTGACTTTCATCCTGTCTCAGGACCTCCAAGCTCTGGTGATCGTCTGAAAAGTATTATATTGCAGCCTTAGTGAACAGTATGTATTTAAAAGTGAAGTTCATGGAATATTTCTGGTTATAGGACTGCAAAAAATGACTGACAACAATACATATTCCCTGTAGTTTAAGGATGGCACATATTGAATTAATGTGGCCTACCAAATGAGGATTGGAACGGGGCCCCATCTGAACTGTCCAAATGATCATCATCATCATCATCAGGGATACCTTCCAGGGGCTGCTGGCTATCAATGATCAAAGTCAACAAGTCTCCTAGGTCATCGGTCTCCGGTCTTTCTGGGGGTCCACCACCAGTCTTGAAATGCTCCCTACATGCAACAGCATTTGTCTTCTTTAAGTTTATTTATAAAAGGGTCCTTTCAAAGTCACTGAAATTCTTTGAACGTTGTCTTTTACCTTTGTCCATTGTTTGGTTGGGTGATTTACTCCAGTTCCACACAATGTTAATGTTTCTTCAGGGTCCAGCCCTGGTTTTTGGAGCAACCTCAGGTCTGCACCGAGTGCACAACATTACTCTAATCGGGCTTCACAGAGAGTAGCTAGTTAGTCCTTATTAACCTTAGTCTTCAACTACCTAGTCAGGTACTAATTAATCTCAAATAAAGCAATGTCTCGGAAAGCCATTTTTTAAGTCTGTATTAATTTCAACAGGATTAGCCTAGTCCTCATTTATTTTAGACTCTGTCCAGGAAACCGCCCCTTAATCTTTTTTTTTGTTTTATTTGGCTAAGTGTGATTAGCTTTAATATGATTCATGTGTTCTGATGAGGATGCTTGACATATTTGTAAGCTCATAAATTTATCATGAACCTATTCACAACTTAACTGGATTTGCATTTGTCACCTGAATCCTTCACTTTATGCAAATTCACTGAAGTACCACCCATAAACCTGAATTACTGGTTATTCATTAACCATTTGCAAGGCAGAGTTAAGATAGGTGCTCATCTCTTTTATTGATGGAAATTCAGTCTTTTAGGACAGCTCAGTACACCAGCAAAACATTATAATACCCCTTAACATTAGTTAGTTCTTACACTCTAGCGTTACGATTCAAAGCATGTTTTAGACACAAAGACAGCTACAGCGGGTCACCAACATAGAAGTATCAAGACAAGCAGGGGGGTTCTACCCATCGCCCACTGGGCTGAGAGGGACAGGGCTTCATCCCCTCATCAGGTAGAAAGAAAACAAACTAAAAGTGCTCATTTATATTGGTCAACTGTAGTGAACCGTAAATGATTCATAAGTGCCAACTTAGATAATATCCAAATGTAAATAAATGTAAAGGCTTAATGACACATCTAGTAACACAAATACAGTAACTAGCTCAAACACCTCTGAAGTGGACATCCAAAACTAACATTTCTCTATGGTCAGACAAAATATAAGTAGTATTGGATGTCCGGTCCTAAACAAAACTTTACCAGTCACAAAAGTCAAGTATAATATCGAATGTAACATTGTCTGGAACAGATTAGGAGTGCAACACTTACAGATACAGTGAAAGCTGGCATTAAGAGAGGACACTTCGTACAGACAGCAAAACAGAAGGATCTGTTTGGGTGGAGTGGTGGTGCTTAGGCTGCACTGTAGGAGGAGCCCTTTTGATTTTGGATGCCACAGGTTTGTTTGTTCTATCAGCAGAGGAATTGGTAAACTGGCACAGTACAAGGTGCTCTGTTAAGATCAGCCTGCCCTGCCACTAACCCCACCTAATCAAGAGCCAGTATGTGCATGCACACAGGCCAGGATGCATTCACACTCAGACTGATTCACTTTTAATAATACAAGTGTTGGAGTGAATAAATACAGCAGTTTCTGGTTAGGGTGTATTAATCTGAGGCCCTGGAGACTGGTTTGATTGAGACAATCGATGTGAAAAGGAATGGAGAAATAAAGTGGAGTTGTATGGATCAAGCCTCCACTACCCACCCAAAACAGCTCTTAGGCCATGACGGCTATATGTTATTTTTTAAATTTCTTTGCATTATAGCCTAAAATAGTACATTGTTCAGGGGTTGAGTCTGTGAGCCTGTGTGTTGGATGAGAAGGGCTGTGGGGTTGAGCGCTATGAAAGATAGATGAAGGTGGAAGGAGAAAGCAGCCCCGATGACTGTTCAGGCCACCGGAACCACACGCATGGTGTTGGTGTAACCAGAGCCTGGACGCCAGCCAGTCAAGATGATGACAACGTCTCCCTCTTTGAAGAAGCCTCTGGCCTTGCCTGGAAAATAAATGTAAAACATTTAACTAAATATTGCATTAAACTTGCATTGTTTTAAAAACCGTGTCTTGGCTCAAAGCTTCACACCATATGGATATTATGCTGGAAACACTTTTTCATCCAAGGACTTTACTAAGTGGACCCTTCAAAATGGCTGTACAAAATACTAACAAGGTGGCGTAGTTACTTACCCATATCCATGGCAAAGTTGACACGCATGTCGACATCCTCTGCCCATACATCGTGGGCGGGCTTGGTGTAGAGGACAGGGAAGATGCCGCGGTACAGGTGGGCCTGGCGAGCTGTCTGAGCATTACGGGTCACAGAGAGGATGGGGGCACGGGGCCTGTACCTGGAGATCAGGTGGGCGGACCTGCACATACACACAAACATACAATGACATCACTTCATTTACATATGGAGTATTTTCCTTTTAAACAGCTGAACAGATTCAACGCTAAGAGTCATGCTTATGCCAAAGTGTGCACAAAATGTGATGTTTACATAAAGAGTATGGTTTGTTCAGATATACATTCAAAAGCAGAAACTGCATACATAGGGCCGGCTTTACTAACATCTGGTGATATCTCGTTTGCCCACGTTTTTTGTCACGCAAACCTTTAGTAAATCTGGCCCATAGTTGCTAAACTCAACAAACTCCATATACCTCATTAAAAACACAAATAAAAAAAGTTGACATGTACTGTATAAAGGAGCAAGCACTCTGTGCACATCTCATGATTTTCTATCATGTTTTCTAATTCGGTATGATTCCACATTCTGATTCTATGTTGTAGCACTTGATTTATTATCACATGAGATTTAATAAAATAAAGTTTGTGAAAGATGGACATTGGGACTGGGTTGAAGACAAGCCCCACTCTCACTCTTGCAATCTGTTGCTATCTCAGATCCACCCACCCACACACACCCACACCCACCCAAGGAGAAGGGATCTGTAAGAGCAAATTATATGAAGAAGAGAATCAGAAGCTGTATTGGACAGGCTGTCATTTATTTGGCAACACCTTACCTTCAGGAACAGGATCATTTCACCTCTATACTTCTCTTTCTTACCTCCCAGTCTTGGTGAGAACAATGAAGGCACTAGCGCAGCATTTGAAGGAGGCCTCAACGGCTCCAACGGCCACAGCCTCTGAGGGGTCCCTGGTCAGTTGGGAATGTCTCCTCAGCTCCTCAAACAGCTGCCTGTGGAAGGTGGCCGCCTCGGCCTCTCGTGCTATCTGAACCCAGAGGGACCACGAGGGAAGGGTGGGTGGAGTGGGGGGTTACTCTCAATCACACACGACCACTGCTGCACGCATTCATTCACACAACTGGGAGTGACAGGCAAATGTGTAGCTAGACTGCTGGTTAAACAACGTTAGTTTAGTTAGGTTTAATGATGGTTTCATGATGTTGGTTTAAGGAGCACTGACTGATAGAAAGACACAAAAATACATCTGTCAAATGTTTGGGTTACTAATGTGTGAATTTTTGTTTGTTCAACCAGCAGTCACATTAAGGTGTTTGCCAGGCTCTCCCAGTTGCTTGCTCAGTCTGCCCTGTCTGGCCCTACACTCCCTCTCTCAGACACCTCAAGTACCGATATCATTATCCTCCTCGACTTGCCAGGACCAGGTAACCTGCCTACCTTCCAGAGCCAGTGAGCACAATGATCGCAGAGGCTAAGCTCTTAAAGGAGGCTTCAACAGCGCCGATTGCAATAGCCTCAGCTGGGTCTTTGCAGTGCGGCGTGGAGCGACGCAGGTCCTCAAACACCTGCCGGTGGAACATGGCTGCCTCGGCTTCACGAGCAATCTGCCACAGCAAAGGCATTCCCACACCAGGCACATGCAGATGTAAGATGAGGAAAATGGGTGGAAAACAGGAAAAAAAAGACATGAACATGGGAAACACAGAGGGACAATGTTAAGAGACACAAGAAAAACAGAAGTTAAAGTAAAGAATAGATGGGACAGGAGGGACATTGAAAAAGAGTTTAGGTGTGGAATTAGTGAGGGGAAATGGAAATAACATTAAAACATCAAAGATTCAGAATTAAATCACAACCATTTACATGAGGTATTAGATATAAAATACTACTATACAACCCTTGCTAATCTGGAGTTAAGGCAAATGTACTGTTAAGGACTATTTTAAGATTAAAAAAAAAAAAAAAAAAAAAAAAAACTATGAAAGATCAAAATGACAGAGCTGAGCTTGATAAAACGGAATTACAAAATTAATGGCTATGGAAAAAAACTACTGAAAAACCTGACTTTAAGTCAACTGGGAGATGAAACAGGGAGCTGGGAGTTGAAATGCCAAACACTGAGATGGTTGTTAAAAACAGCCACAAAGAATGAATAAGAAAAGTATTAGAAAGATTTAAGTAAATGAGTAAAAGAAAATCCCAGATAGCAACAAAAAGGGCTAAGAAGCAGTCCATGTGATTTTACAAGGATGCAAGTCTTCAATGTCAATGGAAGTTGTAGTTTACTTTGGATTGTGTAGCAAGCTATGCAACTTCAACATGAGGTCAGCAAGCTGAAAGACAGGAGCTGCAGTACTGCTGAGTCACTCCTGCATCCGCATAGCAGCAGAGTATAGTCTAGAACAGTGGAGGTAAGACGGCATTAATTGCATTATCCTCCATGAAACGGATACTGTGATTTTGATGTAAGAATTTATTAAGATCCAATTATCAGTATTGGTTATAAGACTTCAAAAAACGTGTTTTGCTTATGCCTGCCCCTGACTGTCGAAACAAACAAAAAACAAAACAAAAAAAAACAAACACACAACACAAATGTAGATACAACAGATAAAAATTTGAAGCAATTTTCTTAATCTATCATTAGCCATTGTAATGATCAATAATTGGTTGATCATACAGAAAAGCACATTTCTTTCTCAATATATGCACAATTTGAAAATCACCCAAAACTGCTGCTCCCTGGTCACCAGCCTTTTTGTTATTTAAGAATACAAAGTTTATCTGTGTAGTTAGGGGATGTCTCATATGTGCACTAAAAAAATCTTACTGCCAAAAATTAGGCTGCTCAGTTTGGGCATACCATGACAACTTAAGAAATGGTAAAACAGGGCCGTGAATTTGTTTGATGAAGAGGTGCAGGCGGCAGCCATTTCCCTCAGCTTGGGTGGACTCAAACATCCCCACAATTTCATTAAGTTGTATGGAAAACCACAGTCGCAATTATCCAAACTATATTTTAAATTCTGCAGCGCCATTTAAATCGTCTGCACAGCTGGAACTAATTATCCAGGGATGAACAAATATGGTTGTGCCAACTTTGCACCCCTTTTAATACTATTATCTTCAACTGATCAACTTTGTAATGGTGATTAATTGATCACTGATTATTCATTACCATACCCAAATAGCAGTGTATATCTGTGGAAATAAGTGGATGGATATAAATAATAGGTCGAACAATCATGCTGACACCTTCTTTAGCAGTGGTTAGGCAAAGTAGAAAAAAGATGCCACGTCATTGGACAACAGCTGAATGAAAAGGAGGTGTCACAGAGGTGTTCAGGAGAGCAAAAAAAATTAGGAAATGAGAAAGAGTAATCTCCCAGTTTGTGACTAAAACATGCTTAAAAATTAAAGATGATAAATCATGCAAGATCACCACATGAACATAATTCATTTCTCCAATCAATAATCCATACTTTTGATCCTGAATAATTTTTCCTAATGTTTACTGTTGTTATATTTAATATACATGAACTCACCATGTGCTGTGTGCGCACTGCCTCCAGAGGGTAATCTCCCTTGGCAGTCTCTCCGCTCAGCATGATACAGTCAGCGCCGTCCAACACGGCGTTGGCTACGTCACTGCCCTCAGCACGGGTGGGTCTGGGCTTCTTGATCATGCTCTCCAACATCTAAATGGTTTTAATGTGAGATGTCAAAAGGTAACATAACAAATCTCAAAATAACAGTCCTTTGAGTGAAAAACAAAATTAATACCAAGATTGTGTTATACATTCACATAGCTGCAGATATTGCCAGTACAGTTGGACATCTGCCAGACTTAATTAAATAAACTTTAGCCCCTGGGGGTGTCTTTGCTTTTATCTAACCTGAGTGGCACATGTGATCGGCTTGCCAGCTCTATTGCAGCGACCGATCATCATCTTCTGGGCTAGGAAGACCTTTTCTGTGGGGATCTCAATTCCCAGGTCACCACGGGCAACCATGATGCCATCGCTGGCTTCCATGATTTCATCAAATCTGCACAGCAGACAGAAAATTACAATCGTTTTAAATCACATTAAGTAAAAATGTAAATAATATTAGGATGTTAATAGTTTTAAAGGCCATGTGAAAGAGGTGTACAGCGCTTTTAAAAAAAGAAAAACAAACCATAAAACACTCAATCCACACACACACACACACCTGCGTACACCTTCGTGGTTCTCAAGCTTGCTGATGATCTTAATGTTTTTGCCTTTCTCTCCCAGCACTGCTCTGACAGCATGTACGTCTTCAGCTTTGCGGATGAAAGAGGCAAAGACCATGTCGACTCCGTGCTGCACACCAAACTGTAGGTCCTCGATGTCCTTGTCTGAAACAGCAGGCAGATCTACAGCAGCACCAGGGAGGTTCACTCCCTTCTTGCTGCCCAGGGTGCCACCGTTCTCAATCTCACACATGAGGAAATCAGAACCTGGAGAGACAGACACAAAAAGACAATGGGCTCAGGCTTTTTTGGGTATTGATATGGATCAACATAAAAAAGTCTGCCATTCTTCCACTCACCAATCTCCTTGACCTGCAGGGATATGAGTCCATCGTCAATGTAGATCTTGCTGCCAATTTCCACCACCTTGGTAATGTTCTTGTAGTCGAGCCAGAGGATCTCATCACTGCAGTTGTCCCGGTAAGTATCATCCAAGGTAATCTTGATCATGTTGCCTTTAATCAGCTCCGCCTCAGCAGTGCCGCTCTGTCAGATCAATGACAGACATCATATTACTTTCTTTTTGGTTTGGTTTCATGCAAAATGTTCTTAATTAAGCCATTGTGAAGACTAGTCTACTGTGTTGCAGTGGAGTACAAGAACAGGCAATGCTAAACTCACTCCCTGGATGAGGCCAGTCCTGATCTCTGGGCCCTTGGTGTCCAGTGCAATTCCGATAGGCCTGTACTGGATACTGCCAGGCTCGAAGCTCTCACATGCCTCGCGCACGTTCTTGATCGTCTCTGCATGGTACTACGGAGAGGAAGAGAAATGTAACGTGTTAAAATATCTCCAGAAAAAGACACTAAGCAAGATACTGAACTACACAGTTGTTGATTTTGATCACACTTAGGACCCCTAACCTATGTCTGCTGCTTTCAAACCCACTGAAATGAAATCACAGTTTGGAAGAGGTATTGGTATTACTGTAAGATAAAAGGTTTTATTAGTCCATAGCAATAGAAAGATAAAAGTGCGCCTGACAACTCACACAGTCATAAACATGAGTCATACTGTCAGCATCACTAAAGGGTTAAAGTTCATTCTACCACCCTTACTGACATGTTAAATTTAACCCAGGAATCTGGGTGCACTGAGCAGAATAACTGAGGTTAAAAGTCACAATGGATTGTGAATTAAGTGTAATTAAAAAAGACCTGAGAGATGACATATCTTACAGTACGGTGTTAAAGGTTCCGTGTGTAAAATTTCTGGGGATCTACTGACAGAAATGCAATATAAGATCCATAACTATGTTTTCAGTGGTGTGTAAAGACCTTACATAATGAACCATTATGTTTACCTTATGTATTACCTTAGAATGAGACATTTCTATCTACATAACCGCGGGCACCCCCTCCTGTGGACGTCGCAGTATTTTCTAATCATGTTTCTACCGTAGCCGACAACGACGCGCGTTTCGTCTTCACGGCGTTCTTCTTCTACTTGTATAATTCCAACATTCCAACAGTGTAGATGCCGTCACTACATTAACTGCGTTCATAGAAGAAGAAGAAGAGGAAATAATAATAATAATAATACAGTCTGAGTAGTCTTAATTTGTCCAAATGTAGAGAAGTGACATCTGGAAATTAAGGAGCACACACGTGTTATTTAGCACGAAAGCGGACAGCCTGTGGATCTTTATACCATGAAGCCAGACGGAGTCAGGACAGATACAAACAGCTGGCGGCAGAAATCAGGGATGTTGTGGATTTTCCCTGATGGAAGGCTATAATGTGGGACAGATGTTTTCTGCTGAACAGGTAAATAAGTTTGTCAGACTTTAGCGATGCAAATGAAAGCCGTTGTTTGATAGCTTTAGCTAGAAGCTGGCCATAATCACAGAGAAACATGAGGCATTTCCCCTGTCAGGGGTGTAAAATATGTAGTTGCATTAATTTCATGTCGCACACTTATTCTCCAGCCTGTGCGTTGGCTTTGCCGATTATGTTAGCAAGACAATCAGCTGATCAGTAATGTTAATAAAACCGTAACGTTAGCTTAGAGCATGGAAGCATCAGCCAGCTAAACTTTTACTGCCCTGGTAGAAAAATCGTGTAAGGTTAGTTGCATTGGTTTATTCTCCAGCACTGGCTTTGGCTTGTGGTGTAAAATATGTAGGCTAGTTGGATTCATTTCATGTAGTTACTCCCTTTCCAGCGCTCTGATTTGGCTTTGTCGGTTATGTTCGTGAGACAATCACCTGATCACAAATTGGCAATAAAACATAGTTTCCAGCATCGAAGCATCAGCCAGCTAAACTTTTACTGCGCTGGTAGAAAAAAAAATATGTTGTTGGATTGTAATTTCATGTAGTTATTCTCCAGCACTCCGTTATGGCTTTGTTACGTGTACAGAAATGTGCCGTTACCTTCCCGATACAAACCGCTGATGAATATTATTGGTAATGAAACGGTAACAGCAAGGAAGCTCAGATCAGCAGCTAAGCTTCACATTTTACTGCCCTAGTGGAAAACATGTATTTATTTTTACTGCTAATGGTGATATATAACATGACCGTGTGCCTATCAAGTGACCAATAATGAATACTTTCCGAATTTGCATAAAAAAACAAAAACGTGTTTTGGATAGTGCTTCACCACTGTGCACACAAATGTGTAATTTGTACTTTCACATGCTAAATGCCCATTAAAAACGTTGCACTGTTTTACCACAAACTGAAATTATGGCTGTCAGTACTACTTTGTGTTTCTGTTGTATTTTAATTAAAAAAAAAAACAAAACAAACATTTTGGTAAGATTTGCAGATTGCTTATCTAATTAAGCAAAGTGAGAGGAGCATTGATCCTCACCTGACAATGCCTTGTAAACTTCATGTATTATGTGGTTTATAATGGTGCAGAAAAAGTGAGGCTTACATTGTCCTGTTATCTGTCAGTGGTCATACTTGATGCACTAGATGTGATAGTTTTTTGAGATGTTCTTTATTTACTTTGGTAGGTTAGTCCAGATGAGCCAACCCTCCCAAGTTGTAAAATACTGTATTAAAAAGGAGTATGAGACATCCTGTAGTACTTCATTTCTTGATGTGGCTGTTTATTAATGAACAAGTAACAATAATATTCATAAAAACATATGGTTTTACTGAATAATTAAGTAAATATAATTTCTTAATATATCCATCTAAAAGAAACCTCATTTCTTGACTGGCAACTGTCTGCCATTTCACAGACGACATCTTTTCCTGTCTCAGGCACCGTAGCTATACTACTGGCTTGGATAGGGGAGGGGGGATGCAATTCGCAACCCTCACCACTAGAAGTCACTAAAACTTACACACTTAACCTTTAAGTAGAAATATACTGATACAGAATGTCATTGTAAAGTTTGTGTCCTTTTACACGTGTCCTTGAGTGCACGTTTCTCCTTGTTATGATGAAGTCTCAATCACATGCAAAGATTGCAACGTCTTTTGCCTCAAAAGTTATGAGTCAATCAGCTGAGGAAATGCAGTGTTTCTTAGGAGGAAATTCCTCAGTAGACCAAACAATCCAAATCCTATCACGATTTGAAATGAACAAACTTCAAAGAGACTAAAATCATTCTTTATGTGGTCTAATATTCACACCGTCAACAGGGTCTGACAAACTCCATTTTAAAATGAGAGAAACAAAAGGTAGGTAATATGTTGCTGTAAATCAAAATGCTTGCTAAGATGGCCGACCTTGCTATGAAATGCTCTGGGAAATTAATGGAAGAGAAGAGAACTTTCTGTAATTTCGAGTTGTGACTGATGCAGCCATTGTTGCCCATTAGTGCAGGTTAATGAACACGTAGCACAGTGTTTGTGGCTTTGAAGACAGATGTCTGTTGCACACAGCTTATGCTGCCCACCTGGGTGACCAGAGCTTTCAGTAATAACTTAAGTGGCAGGTAATCACATTGGTTACCTTTCACACGGACAACACAATGAGATACACTACGCTCACTGCATTGTGACTAAAAGAAAACCATGATTGTCTCGCCACCTGCAAAACAAAAACACACATCTAATACTAGATTTTCCAGCATGGTGACAAACCTGTAATTAAGATTAAGTCTCACATAGTCCAGCACTGAGGCCACAGGGTGTGAAATGTAATCTTTTGAGAGTAGCTTCAGAAAGTTGAAATGTCATGATGCAACTATTTGGATGATCGCTTGGCATCTCCAGTGTAATGCAGCATTTCAGTAAGAGACAGAGCCAGTGTTTTATGACTAATGTTGAGAGTGAATTTAGAGCAGTGAGGTTTACTGCATGTATGTGTACATGTCAGGGCCATAGATTTGGGATTCATTTTTGACACAATTAAGAAGAAAAATGGTGACTTTCTGGATTTGCAACATAATCTACTTTCTACTTCCCCGTAGAAAAGTGGACTGACCTTGGGTTTTGTTTGTTTGTGTACGTACACGTGTACGTACACACACACACACACACACACACACACTTTCTCTCTCGGCATGCTGCCTGATGAGGAGATGAAGGCAGGAAAGAAGCTACAGATAGTACCCCAAGCCAACAAAGCTCTGGTTTCTTTTTCTGTTCTCCACATCTAGACTATCCTTTAATCTTCATTAAACCAGACCCACACAAACCACTAATACTTCTCACCAAGGAGGGAAAAAATTGCAATAGAATTAATCATTTATATATTTTTTGGGTGGTTAAATATTTGTGATTGGATAGTTTGTTATTTATCCATTCTCCACAAGCAAGTCTTTTCAAATTCTATCTTTAAGTGTAGTATTTATGTTTCATATGCTGTTCAAACTCTTGGGTTTGATTGATTACACTTCGTGCTTGCAGTTAGGTATTGTTTTGTTTCTTTTTGCCATTTTGTGAAAGCAACTTACCTGACCATGCTTTCTTAAAGTTTGCCTGATCAGTGAATTCATTCATAGATTTGACTTTGTTATTTAGACAATTAGATGAATCAAGAGATCAAAGTGATATTATAACCCATCTGGCTTTTAGGCAACTTTTAAGCCAACTTATTATATGCAGATCATTTCAGGTGAGATGTGCAGCTGGTATAAGCAGTGGTGGAAGAAGTATTCAGATCCCTTTACTCAAGTATAGTGCTTATACCTATAAAAGTATCAAAGTATAATCAGGAAAATGTACTTAAAAAGTAAAAGTTCTCAATGCAGAATGAAAAATGTCCCTTGACTATCATATAACATCATACTATTATTACTCATTCATTAATGCAAACCATTTACCAATTTTACTTTCGTAGTTGGTTGAGGTTTAAGTAATTTGTATCAGACTGCAATTATGGATTAATCTGCGGATAATTTTGTCCATTAATTGATTGTAAATTTATTTAAATTAGTGAGAGATGTTGTCACAGCCCAAAGTGACACCTTCACAATGCTTGTCTGGTCAGTCCAAACCTCAAAATGATTAAAATTACATCAATATAAAATAATCAAAAAGAAAAGCAGCAAATCTTTACATTTGTGAAGCTGGAAACATGAATTGTTTTACATGAAAAATGACTTAAGCAATTATCAAAACAATTGCCAATCAACAAATGTACTAGCTGTACAAAATTTTTTAAACTATTCATGTTATGTTTGTAAAAATCTTACTTTATAAAAGTAACTAGTAACTGAATCCATCAGATAAATATAGTAATGTAAAACCTACAACTTTTTCCTTTGACGTGGTGGAGTAGAAGTAGAAAGTGGCATGAAAGGAAAATACTCAAGTAAAGTACAAATACCTCTCATTTGTCCTTAAGTAACTTTACAGAGCATGTGTCACCGTGGGACACACAAGGTTTAATCAGGCTGTGTCACTTATGAGGTGAACTTTGTTAGCTAGCCCACATTCTAATCTTAAGAAAGTTAGTGCTACTATTTTTCCCCCCATTCATGCTAGCTGGCCCAGTCTTGCTTAAAGTGCCAAGCTGATTACAGTCCATAATGAATTCCGTGCTTTTCCACTGTGAGCAGTGTTGACCATCTGCTTTCACCATAGTTATTTTATGCAAAGACTGCTTGAAAAGAGCTAGACAAAAAAAGCAAAGCCTGCTACAAAAGATCAACATACCAACCAATACCAGTCTGTGATAAAGCCCAGACCCATTTTTGATGGAAAGTATCAGCACAGTATAAACGTGATTTTTAACAATATGACTGGTTAGCTGTACCTGCCCATCTCATTTACACAGTTGTGGAAAGACTCACCTCATGTGTGCCATGGCTGAAGTTCAAGCGAGCAATGTTCATTCCAGACTTGATCATCTCCTTCAGCATATCCACAGAACGGGAGGCTGGCCCTGCAGACAGTCATTGAAAGGAAAGGATTCATTTAATTCTCCTGGTAATTAAGTGAACTAGATACAAGTATGGTATGTTTTGTTTTCTGTGTAGGGAATCCCTTTATTCAGTTTCATACATGTTAAGAGTAACTTACATTTATAAAAACACGTTTTTAGATAAGGAAAGACTCATATTGATTTAATAAATATATTTTGATCAGGTTTTATTAGGACTTCTCTAAGTGTGATTATTATTATACACAGATTATTGTCAGTTCAAAATGCAATAAAACTGTCATGTTCACAAAGATAATAATTGCAATAAACAAAAAAGCAAAAACAAACAAATAAAAAGACTATTTAGTCATAACGGTGCAGCCCTAGTAGTTATCTTTTAAGTAGCAACCATATATCTCAGCAACTAAAGATTGTTGACCAACCAATGGTGCAGATGATGCCAGTGTTGCGTGCGGTGGTGGGCTCAGAGTCAATGTCCAGCAGGCACATGTGTTCCAGGAAGGTGTCAGCCATGGCAGCGTTGAGCTGCTGTGTCTGGATGAAGGCAGAGCCCATGTCTACAGACTTTGGATGAGGCATGGCGATCAATGGAGAAGTCCTGCAGGGGGAAAAAAAGGATAATAAAAGTTCATACAGAGGATGACCAATTGACAGCTTTCTTCAGGTGACCGCAGTTGGTTCAAGATTTCTCAACTCTTTACCAGGCTCTTCAAAGTGGGATTGATTTTTAACCGGGTGAGTGTTGGAGATAGGTCTGGACAATAAAACAATAATAATTATCACAATATAATTTTTTCCAATAACAATATAACAAGTGTTCAATAAATGTTTGATTTTATTCACTTGAATCATACACGAATTAGGACTTAATTTTTCTTATTAAGATGTTTATTCTGTCGAGGAAAAAGGACTGAAAAAGGTTTTACTTAATTTTACTTATATTTGTTGACAAAGATTTTATCATAAAGTGTTGACCATAAAGAAAAGTTTAAACCACAATTAACCATCAGGTTTCTTCAACTTTCACTCAGGAGCAAAAATCAGCCTTTAAACTCAAAAGAAAGAACGATTTGATACTTATCGTGATAATTATCGATATCGAAAGATATGAAACTTTTTATCGTGATAACATTTTTGGACATATTGTCCAGCCCTAGTTGGAGAAAACCAAATGTCAAACCTTAACGGAATTTGGCTGGTAGCTAGAGTGGCCAGCCATTAATGGCACTGTATCCGCCCTGCTGAGTGTTCCTAGCAATCCTGCTGTGTAGCTAACCTTGTCATAGTAAACTCAGAGGAAAGGAGAATTTCCCAGTGGGAATCAATTAATTATGTTCATTGCTGATGTTCAATTGTAATGCTACAGGGACTAATAACAGTTATGTTACTGTCATTCACTTCAAGCACACCCATTTTCGATTAACCTTAGCCACTGAGACTAAAGACAATAAAGACTAAGATTAGACTTATGAAAGGTCACCACTGCTTTTGCTTCTATTTCTAAATATTGGGGTATTGTGAGCTACTTTGCACAATACTGTCTTTTAAGTTACTATTTGCCTTACAGGTTGCACAATCCTAAAAACAACAAAAAAACAAAACAAACACTCCCACCACTGTTTACAGTTTCATAACAGATACATGAATGCTGATGTGAAATGCTAAAGAACAAGACTGCATTGCACTGCCTCTATACGCTACACTTGAGTAAAGTCGTCTGGCTTATTAAGGTGTTACACTGTTTTGTACATCCTGTTCTCCCCCACCCTCTGAGTCACCCTTGGAAACGACACAGTCATGAAGCTACAGGGCTGGAGTTGCCAAGCTTTCATTATGACACTAATCACTCATTTCTAGCCAGAAAAGGGAAAATATGCTGTTTATTGTAACGGTAGCACAGAACAGATTTCGCAACATATCCTGTGCACTGGTAAATGGCTCTGACACATGGACATGTGCTTTGCTTGAGACACTTCCTTTTTCCCCTAAATGTTAATTTTACTCAACTACCTTAAAATATAATGAAACCAAACCAACCAGTGAAGAGATTAAAATACCTCTGTCAAAATGACCCATTGCTTCTTTGGCAGAACAACAGGATCCTTTTCGGATCCCTCTACACATAAACAAGATCTGTTCTGAATTACTGACCCTGAGTATGTGGTCCCAGTGGAAATAACATGGGACAATATGTAAATCTAGACCCGGCCAGAGTAGTGCGTCTACAATGTTAAGTGTTGAAACTGAATAAGAGTTACAGAAAAGGCTGTTTGCCAAAGGTTTGTTCCATGTCAGCCACTGAAGGTACCCAGGATGGTTCTGTGGCTATTTAGTCACACCAATAACAGAACAGGCTGCAAAGGCTGATGTACTCATACAGGAGGGTTGGAAAATACACAGGATGGAAAGTTTTTGATGGCTCAATTGTGAGTGGCGCCAGTGCAACTGAAGACTTGGTGGCCATGGTGGCCCCTAAGGGTTAGTCTCTCAGAGGAAAATATGTTGCATTCGACAGTAACACTAGTAGTCTGACTCTCTTACTCATCACATCCTAATTACAAATGCATCATGATGGGGGGAATCCAGGCAGTGTCACTATACCAACGGACTCCTTTTATAGGACCTGCTGACTGATGATGTAACACACAAGTCAATGGGGCAGACCAGTGCTGTACGTGAGGAGAGTCACATCCCACTACTGCAACACACACAACCACGAAAATGCCAGAGGAAGGCATCAGAGTGCGCTAACCCACAGAGAAAGACTGCAGAGGGGAGAAATGAGTCTAATTCATAACTGTAGAGTTCTGTGCTTTTATTAATTTCCTGTTTTATTCATTTATTTAAAGGGGATTTTTTTCAAGAAACAGAACTTAATTTGAGAAAATGTATGCTACTTTGGCATTTCCTTTACAAAATGTTCATCTAAATAGTACAATACCAGGAGTGAGCCATTCCAAGCTCTATCACATCAACAGATGGGGAGAAAAAAAAAAAAAACACACCTGATGAGGGATAAGTTACAGTGACAGTTAAGGGTTGTAAAATTACACCTATTAAAATATTTGATGATTATTGACGTTTCTGCTTACAGCTTTTCAAATGTGAACATTATGCTGTTACCCTGGCCTGTTGCATATTTCTATCAATAATCATTTGGTTATGAAGGGCATTTTGGACATTGGCCTATCATGACATGCAAATGGCAGCCATTTGATGAAATATCCTTCTCCACTGGTCTGCTATTGGAGCATGACTTGACAGTTAAATGTAACAGTAAAAGACAATGCAACACTGGCAGTTGCAATTTCAAAACTGAAAGGGGATGTGCTTTTGTTTTAGAGGGAAAGTTGGACATTTAATTTCAGGCAGCTCCTGTTACAAGCGGTTCTGCTACTTGACCGAATACGTGGACTACAAATCAGATGCATGTCCAAAAACTAGATATGGCCAGTAGCAGTAGTAATAAATCAGATGCTTATTCTTAATACCACAGAACATGACTGGCTTTGAATGCAATTGCTACAGAACTACACCATGCTTCACCATTAGGACATGTAGAAATATGTTTTTATAGCAACCTGGAATGCCTCAGCATAATGTCTGACATTGTCCCCCACCCCTCGTTTTCAACCCTTCCATTTGAATCAATTTCCAGCAACGCTTACCAAGTGTCATGTTGGGGTGGGAATCACAAGAGGCCCCACGATACGATATTATCACGATATTTAAGTAGCAAATTCGATTTTATTGCGATCCAATTAGGTCCCTAAAATCAAAATGTCAACATCTGTTTATCTAAAAAGATACGAAAAGTTTTCTAGTGGACTAAAAAAGCAATAGATTTTATTATTCTAGTACCAAAAAGTTAAAACTCCCATCTGCAATTTCTATACTAAAATATCGATACAATATTGCCATGGCAAATATCACGATACTATGCTGTATCGATTTTTTTCCCCTCCACCCCTAGTGTCATGTATTGTTTTATGTTTGCCCTAGGCACATGTTCATTCTGTCATGGGGTCAAATTTCATTAGCAAACAAGTCACAGTGGGTATCTTTGTCAGTTTAATGAAATGTCATCCTCCAACTTAACCTCAAATACTGCCTATATCCTCAGGTGAGGTGTTATTTTTGGAGATCTAAGAGGAATAGGACAAGCAAAGAAACATGTTCACCTGATGGGACTATACTTCATCAAGTCCAGTCGTGTCTGGGTCTATCTTACTGAGTTTGCCATCTTCTGGTTGTTATGAAAAGACAAAATTACATCCTAGCCGACTGACCAACATGGATAGAGTGTCTGACCTCAGGACTGCTAGTGAACAGCCGCCACAGGCCAACAGGAGCCATAGTAACCGCCGCACAGATGCAGGGCTAACTTTAGAGCCGGCTGCTAATAATCCCTTCCAATCCCTTCCCACCACTTCTACCTTTGTAACATACACTATCATTGAACCATACTCTCAGCCACTATCTTCTCCTGTCTTTCCAAACACTTTCCTTATCACTTATCTTTGAAACACCCCTGTACAACCATTAGCAGCCATGGTAGCATTGCTCTCAGGGTGACATGACATTTAGTACCATCTCTATTATGGATGTGACGTAACACTAGGCTAATCCAAGCAAGCTTACAGACACAGTAGACAGTTTCTATCAGTCACACTCACTCATCCAAGGCACCATTTGCAGTTGTGGCTCTACATACCCCCAGTAGATATTCCTGTTCCTCTTGGAGACAAACAGGCACGTTACTACCAATGACCTCCACAACAAGCCCAGTGTGTTGGAGCTTCCAATGCCAATGGGCGAACTACTCCCTGCAATAGCAGTCCAAAAAGAACTGACTGCTGCAATGCGCTTGGATACGTGCAACACTTTTAGGAGCTCAAGAGTAAATCCCTTCAATGAGGATAAAGGACATGGAGAGTGTCTGCTGTGACCAAGCAATCGCCAAGCCCGGGTACAATGGATATCCATGAGACTTCCACCACAACACACCAGAGCAGCGTCACACCAATGTTGGTACCAGCCTAGATCATACACCCCCGGCCTAAAAACAGAGGCTTGGCTAATAATAAAGGACAGCATGTAGAGTCTGTTTGTAGAAATCCAATACATTGAATGTACAATGGTACGCTACGTCAGCCTGTAAATCAAACTTTAGATGTGGTATTACATGTGTTTAAATTCATGAGTCTCTTACAGAATGCTGTGTATGATCAATGCATTTCAAATACACATAATAAACAATTTGGCTGTATTTTTTGTCCAAGTGCTTGCATCAAATTGAGTGCAAAGAGTTTTGTCATTTTGCATTCAGTGTGCCTGCAGTGGCAAAGCAATACCCAGAATTGGTATTATTTCACCCCATGGCTTTCCCTAATATTAGTCAGCAAACACGCAGTCATAGTGGGGTGGGTCTGCATGAGAGCAGTGCCATCTGCAAAATGTCTACTGCACTGACCACTGGCTCGGGTGCAACTGATCTACCAACAGCAGGTCAAGGACACCTCCTTTCAGAACAGAAAATTTCAGTTTTGCTATCCATCCTCTGATTCCTTATCATCTTTGCAAATGGCTGGTTACCTGCCAAAGTACGTCTTAAAGTAGAAAAACATCAACAGCCACAGCTAAAATTACAATTCAACATCGTATACATGTTGTTCTTTATTTTACCAGCAGTTCATATCCAAGGATGATTAAATTAAGACTCTAGACTTTCTGATAAAGTAATGGAATTTGTTAATTAACAGTGATTTTAAAGGGAAATAAAGGCTAATCTGACAATTGGGCCTATGCATATCCTAAGCATGCCACCAGTAGATGTATTTGACAAAGGATATGACATTACAATTTAAAATGCACCTTTAGACAAAAGCCAAACCTTGATCAAATCATTGTGTTCCTGCTGTTTTGGGATCAGGCTGAAAAAGCAGGGCACTGTAATACATCACATCACATACCGAGAACGACACAGTTCAAGCTGTTTAGATCGAGAGCTAACAAAGCCATAGCACACAACCTAAACGGGGAGAGTGCGACCTGTATCCAATATCAATAAGGCCTATTATCTGTGGCACCACTGCAGCAAGCTACTGCAGTGAAGCTGCTAAGGAAATGTATATATTTCAAACTACATTTACAAAAGGATTATTATTTCCTATAACATCACAAAAGAGGTTCGGGTTTATTTGACAAAATATGACCTTGATTATGGATGGATACCGTATCTTTAAGGATGAACGTGATAAATTCACCAACTGACTGTCATGTGAGGGAACACGACGACTACACACGACTTTTAATAACAGGCTGTGTATTTGGTATTTTATTGTAATATACTTACATACAGTGCAGACGATGCGCTAAAGGTCACGTTCTCATCCTGCGTCACATTTTCCTGATTTAGAGACGCCACAGAGGCCGGCCAATGGGAGGCCGAGAAAACGGAGCGGCCACACCCACAACAGGAAGCGGTTCAACGCTTCACGCATCACGTTTCGTTCCTGCATTTTAGATGTAATAACTGTGTTTTACGATTAAAACAAAAAACAAGGCTACACCGTGGTAGCGGTCAGTAATATGAAGATCCACTCCCTGCACGTTCCGTCAGTTTATCCATCTACTAAATGCACTTTCCACAGCACAACGTTGTTGACCAAGTACGAAACCAGCACTAAAAATGGATTATCTAATACTACTGATACATGATATCGAAAAGAGATAGTAAAGAGTGTAAACAAGCCACCAGTAAAGTTAACCAACATTCCCACACTTACCAGCTCGCAGGATTAGCTACACATACTATAAAAGGCAAAAATGTTTAAAAGACAGCACGTGTGACAGCGCAAGTGCTCCACAAGTTATTAGACCACTTCATAGGAAAGTTAGGCTAACAAGCTGCAGTCCCTGATGAGGATACCCACCTTGTCTTGCTAGTGAACTGCTTGGATCGGTGAAGCCTTGCTGTCGTTACACTGAGACTAACTCAAGGTGATCTCCCTACTCACTTACTCTGCGGAACTACTTTCTAGGGATGCTCAGACATATCCATCCGAGAGAATGTAGATAAATGAAAAGAAATACACTGTCTTGACACACTTATATCGACCGCACGCATAACAGACTACTCAGTCGTGTGTTTTATTTCAGTATAACTGTTATGGAAAGTCAGAACATGGTAAAAAGTAAAAACGAAGCGGAAGGATACGAAGACGCAGCAAGTGCTGGGTAAAGTCAGGGAGCCAATCGGGACGCTTGAATGTATCAGCAGCGCACGGAGTATGACATGTGACCGTGGATGGCGTGCTGTAGTTTCCTGAAAAATACAGTGGTTAGGACACTATGGCCGTTCAGTGACTGCCAGTTTTAATTTAACGTTTAATATAATGTTTTTGCCTCCATTATCGTGCAGATATGCCAATCATCGGAAGCAGAAATGGTTCAGGCATCATCTAACCTGCTGCAAGATTTAGTAACTGGGTAAATGTGTTGAAAGCTATCAAAGTATGCCCTATCCCCCCTCCATTTAATTTCTAAAAGCTGGTGCAGTAATGACACCCAAACACTGTTTATTGCCTCAATAGCATTAGTGGCTTGCGACCACGCAATGGATGTTTGAGGTGAGCCGACGACCGAACTGATGTGTAAGTACCTTGCCAATGTCGGTGTTTGAGGGATTACCTCCATCTAGTGTTGAAGTAAAATATAACAGTTTGTAGATGGTTCTTTTTTACAGTGATAGGCATTTAGCTACGTTTAGCTGTAGGTACATCATATTGAGAACTTGAACGACACGTGCTTTTTCACAAATAGGCTATTAGGCTATAATAGGCAAGGTAGTCTATAGTTCTTTACACGATTTACTCTATATTTAATTGATTTTGCATTTTAAATACACATTCCAAAATGACATATTCTAAGTACGCTACACAGCCAGTATTTCCATGCTTATACCATACCATACCATCATACAAAATACAAATAAATCCACTACTAGCAGTACTATAATACTACGGTTACCATCAAAAATAATTGTTATTATTTCATTTCCACAGAAAGTAGAAGGAGAAACTTTTTTGGAGGTACACAGTACATCATTGCGTTGATAGATGTAATGCCATGATCTGTAGTTATATTTATATCTTTTGTTTGTTTGTCCAGTGCAGACTGCAATGTTGCATATGTTCGCCAGGATGATTAATTCTATGTTAATCTGCTCTGCCAAGGAGTATGAAGACAGAAACTAAATCGATGACACAGACACAACTGCCAACCATATCTCAACCACAGTGAGCAAATATAAACATTCAAGCTCTGCAACACAGATTAGAGACAAATAAATTGGGCAAAGATCCTTCTCAAAGTACTATTTGCTTCGCAGATACAGGAAACACTGATAGTAATCTTATTTTTTTCTGGACTCCCTGTGGTCTACTATAAGGGTACGTCATCTCCTCTCCCTCTGTCCCATTTTTGCTCTCACCTGTTGATGGAGTTAGCGCTGCTGCTTCCACTGCCCATGTTGCCGTCTCACTGGCTGCTGCAACCTCTGCCTGGAGCCACTCCACTCCAGTACCTGAGGCCAATGGACATACCTGTCCAGGTGAGGGACAGATCTGCAGTCCAGTCAGCCTGAACACTGGCCAAGCCCCTAGCTGTCAGTCAGTATTAATGGCTGCTAACCCCTGGGCCACGAGGTACAGTAAGACACTGTGGGAATATGCTCAGATAAATCTCAGAGATGAGATAATGCTTCTGAATCTATTATTACTGCATGAATAAGGCAACTCTTACCTATGAATAAAAGAGGGAAAACAATCAAACAGCAAAGGTAAAAAACACTCTATTAAGGCACACACAGAAGAACTAAAATAGCACAATTACATATTGATGAGGTTATGATCATAACACAATACAGAAAAACAGAAGGACACAATACATGTATAATAGCAATAATGGTAATCATTTAATGATAGTCAATATAAAAAAGAATGTTCTTCTCCTTCCATAGTAGTGGGAGGGAATATTTGAGGAGCTCATTTCCCAAAATGAGACATTACAATTTCTCAATGTAACACATACTCTCATTGTGCAAAATAAAACAAGGCTAATTCAAGACAAATGACATTTTGACTTAGGGTACTGGTTGTCAAGTATTGAATTTTACTCTACTGTTGGTAAAGTGTGTTCTCAGCTGACCAAATACTATTTATTACTATTTAATACTTATTTTTTATTTTAGAGAGACTTAACAGTTCATTTCTTTCACAAAAAAGATAGATGTTGTAATTCAGAAAGTTTGTTGCAATCTGCATTTTTAGCTGCATCCAGAAAAAAATATATACTGACTGTTGTTGTACAGTGAAGGAGAGTTGCACCATAAGTGGAAGATGGGGGATTGTTCTAGGAATACTACTGTAGTGAGCTCTTCAGTTGAACCTGTAACACCTATAACCTCACCTCATCCCCCACACACCTCACATTAAAGAAGTGCCAGGCAGTCTAACAGTGGTTGACAAAGCTACTATGGCATGATGCCTGAGTGTTTGCCCATACTTATTGTGCCATCAGAGTCTATACCCTTTAGTTTGCCCAATGTGTGCCATATTAAACCACAGCCAGACATTGAGCAGACAGTTGGCCTAACACCTGCCCATTGTTCAGGTCAGTTCTTAAATAGATACATTGAGATAATGAGGGTAAAGACTGATTAGCTCAGAGTCCTAATGGCCAGTCTCACACATGCACACAATGACACACTGTATCATAGATAGAGCAGATGTGATTTTTTTTGTAATGTTATATTAACCTTTGAAGATGTTACTGAAATATAACAATTGCTATTGTTTATATTATTTCACTCTTAGATCATTGAAACGTATAGTTGCATCTATACAGCATGCAGATCAGCTTAAGTGTAAAGCACAAATGTAGCATAAAGTGCTTTATTTCTTTTTTGTCTTTTTGAATACATTTAAACAAGACATGAAAGCACTACTGTCTGCCAGAAGCTGCTTCAAAAAGCATCATTGCACAGTAATAGACACTTATGCAACCACACACACACACACACACACACACACACCACACATGAACACACAGGCAGACGCATATGAGCAGAGCCTTTCTTCCTCCATTTTTACCCACCAATTTCTCAGCAGCAGTGCAGTCAGCTGCAGGTCACATGACTGGCTTGCCTGGTCTCACTGAGCATGCTCAGACTCCTCAGTGTTGTCAGGCAAAATATAAGACAGCAGTGGGAGAAGAGATCTGCAATAGATAAACACACAGACTAACACACACACCAACTGGATTGCTCGCAGACGCACACCACAAGCGGCGGGAGACAGACGAGACAGAGAATTGGGGGATTCGTGGCTCTGGTTCGTCTAATATGTTATTTTAATAGGCTTATTGTCATCTATCATTTCAGTGGAAAACAGCCGCCGAGAGAGAGAGAACGGCAGGTGTGCCCTTTAAGAGGGGGAGCAGCTGAGGCAAGGACAGCATCTCGGTCTCCATCCTCTGTGGAGGTAAGTGTGGATGGATGGGGTGGGGGTGCAGAGCGTGGGGGGATGGGAAAATCTGCCTGAGTGCATGAGTGTTTGTGTTAAATATTATTAAATATTATCAGAAGGAGGAATGGGGATGGTGGATGTGTGGGTGGGGGCGGGGGTGGGGGGATTCTGTTTGTCGGCGGCTCTATTGGTATGTGAGACGACAGAGGCTGTGGGAATGGCGGGGTGTGGGGGCGGTGTAGGGGTGTAGATGCTAGCAGGGTTGAGGACATGGCAGGGCAGCTGATGTCTGAAAGGATGTTTTAGACAAGAAAGGAGCCAAACTGTAACAGGAAAGATGAGAGATATCCAAAATCAGGAAGAGAGAAGCACAGTATAATAATTATTTTGTGTAGAAATGTAGATAATGGCACAATCTAAGGTAGAGAGAGAGAGTGCAGCAAACAAAAAGAAAATGAAGAATTGGTGTTCATTTAATTATTTTGACCTTATAGCATAGATGCTTTCATGGTTTTGTAAAGGCAGTCGGTTCTGCAGTGCCAATTTATGTTGCCATCCAGTCTTTGTTTGCAAATGCCTCAGGATTCATTCCTGATAAATATTAGGCATTCTTTATTTTTTCTTTATTATTATTTTTTGGCTTGATGTGCACTAGGCCATTCACATTTTAATTTGTATTCTGATGCTGCAGCGTGAAATATGCAACTCTGCATCTGCAGCTTCACGTCTTGTTAAAGAGACGCCATGCTCCTTGTTTACATGTCTGACACAAAAGATGAGGGGCTGCTAAGAAATACACTGTAGCCTACTAGCTGCCTTTGTTATATCAGTAGTGGTGTCCTTCGTCTGATTTTATCTCTAAATCCGGACCATATAAAATTCAAGATATTTCCTTTCTCACCATGACATCTGTGAATATTCCTTTCGGTAGCCATTCTTTTATTGTGTTAAATTCTTGAGAAATATCTTTGATTTTATACTAAGCATCCTGTGGCCACAATGTACTCTCCTTATGCTAAACACAGAAACTACGTGGCATTTCAAAGATTTACTTCCATTTATTTGCAGGGCAAATAAAAAAAAAGTCCAACAGTGCCCTGACATCAGCAGATGTGCTGTTTTTGCTGTGTGTTTGTAAAGGTGTGCCAACCTTTGCCTCGGTATTATAGATGAAGCTCCTGGAAAACAAAACAAAACAAAGAAAGTGAGACATCCTGGGTACTGAACGTATAGCATATATCTCCCACACGTTCCCCCTACGGAGATTAATGCCATTCTGAAATGAGGCAGAGATGGCTGGCTGTTGCTAGGATACATGGCAAGGTGAAATGCAGACCATTTAAAGAAAAGAAGAGGAGTGCACGGTTTACAAAGCATGGCATCACTGGCGATGGTCTCTTTGTTTCGTGTTTTCTTCCATTACTGAATTTGAATTTCTATCTCTTCAAGGTGCAGTTCTGAGGGGTGCCAGAAAGAGAGGGGGTCAGTCAAAACACTCCGGTTTTCTGTTCTCGTTCCTTCCACCTGGAAACAGGCTGCAATGGCTGGCACTATTCAA